GGAGAAGTAATGCGAGGGGTTTTGGCGAGGCGGGGTTAAAAGATAAAGAATCACACACAAAGTGGGAGTTGTCACAGCTGCTCTTGCTGATGACACTGTGCTTTTGGAGATTGAAGAAAAGTTGAGAGATTGGTGGATGAAATTTGGTAGGGTGTGCAAAAGAAGAAAATTAAAGGTGAATACAGGAAAGAGTAAGGTTATGAGGATAACAAAAAGATTAGGTGATGAAAGATTGAATATCAGATTGGAGGGAGAGAGTATGGAGGAGGTGAACGTATTCAGATATTTGGGAGTGGACGTGTCAGCGGATGGGTCTATGAAAGATGAGGTGAATCATAGAATTGATGAGGGAAAAAGAGTGAGTGGTGCACTTAGGAGTCTGTGGAGACAAAGAACTTTGTCCTTGGAGGCAAAGAGGGGAATGTATGAGAGTATAGTTTTACCAACGCTCTTATATTGGGTGTGAAGCGTGGGGTGATGAATGTTGCAGCGAGGAGAAGGCTGGAGGCAGTGGAGATGTCATGTCTGAGGGCAATGTGTGGTGTGAATATAATGCAGAGAATTCGTAGTTTGGAAGTTAGGAGGAGGTGCGGGATTACCAAAACTGTTGTCCAGAGGGCTGAGGAAGGGTTGTTGAGGTGGTTCGGACATGTAGAGAGAATGGAGCGAAACAGAATGACTTCAAGAGTGTATCAGTCTGTAGTGGAAGGAAGGCGGGGTAGGGGTCGGCCTAGGAAGGGTTGGAGGGGGAGGGGTAAAGGAGGTTTTGTTGTGCGAGGGGCTTGGACTTCCAGCAGGCATGCTTGAGCGTGTTGATAGGAGTGAATGGAGACAAATGGTTTTAATACTTGACGTGCTGTTGGAGTGTGAGCAAAGTAACATTTATGAAGGGATTCAGGGAAACCGGCAGGCCGGACTTGAGTCCTGGAGATGGGAAGTACAGTGCCTGCACTCTGAAGGAGGGGTGTTAATGTTGCAGTTTAAAAACTGTAGTGTAAAGCACCCTTCTGGCAAGACAGTGATGGAGTGAATGATGGTGAAAGTTTTTCTTTTTCGGGCCACCCTGCCTTGGTGGGAATCGGCCGGTGTGATAAATAATAAAAATAATAATAATAATATATATAATATATATATATATATATATTATATATATATATATATATATATATATATATATGCAATAAGATCACAGTAAACAGGTGATTTTAAATATGCAAAACAAACCACACTGCAAGAATAAGAAATTCCAACGCTTTCGTGACTACTCACACATTATCAAGGAACTATCTAGTTCCTTGATAATGGAGTAGTCACGAAAGCGCTTGGAATTTCTCTATTCTTTCAGAGTGGTTGTTTTGCATATAATATATATATATATTTATAATATATATATTATATATATATAATATTATATATAATATATATATATATATACATACATACACACACACACACACACACACAGATCCTTCTGGGTTTTCTTCTACTTTTCTTCCTAGTTGTTGTTCTTGCTTATTTCCAATTGTCTCCATGGGGAAGTGGAACAGAATTCTTCCTCCATAAGTGATGCGTGTCATAAGAGTCGACTAAAATGCCGGGAGCAAGGGGCTGGTAACCCCTTCTCCTGTATATATTATTAAATGTAAAAGGAGAAACTTTTGTTTTGTTGTTTTTGGGCCACCCTGCCTCAGTGGGATGCAGCCGGTGCGTTGAAAGAAATATAATGTTTATTGCCCTTTTATGCTTAAATTTGCTTGGAAAGCTCTACATAACTATGGGTTTTTTACATACATTATCAAGTGTCACACATTTATGTGCAGACAGTGTATCATGGGGAAACAGATTTTGAATTTCAGTTCCACCTTCAGTACTATGACTACAAGAGTTACTGTTATTAGTAGTATAAGTAGTATGCCTTTTATTATTGGTTTATTATTATTATATTAATATTATCATCATTGTTGTCAGTGCTGGAGGGTCGGGTGTGCGAGGTGCAGGAGAATTTCGACCAGTTGGAAGGCCTCAATGCGCAGGAAATTGCAAAAATAAAACACATGGTCAGTGTAATTTTTTTTTTATTTTTTTTTTGTGAGATATTGTGAGAATTTTATTAATTTTTGTGGCAATAAAAGTGTAGAATGAAGTGCTTTACATGTATATTGTAAAGCAGCGGTGTGGGTGGAAGACTTTGGGACTGATCACCTTCAGTGATTGAAGGACTGATCACCTCCGTCAGTGACTGAGGGACTGATCACCACCATCAGTGACTGAGGGACTGACCACCACCTGTCAAGACTGAGGGACTGACCATCTATTCTCTGCAGTTACTGAACACCAACAGTGAGCTGGAACAGTCACAGGCACGCCTGAAGGAGACAACAGCAGCGCTTACCAGCGCTGAGTCACGGCTGGCCTGGGCATCATCGCTGGAACAGCGCGTCGCTGCACTCAGCGATGAGAAGACAGAGTTAGAGACCCAGGTAGCCGGACTCTCTAAAAAACTCGATGTTGCTAATGCCAGGTGAGTCCTTTTATAATTATCACCTTTAATAATAACAAATAAACAGCACTGCTGAAGGCCTATTGGCCCATGCTAGAGGGGTCTAACTCTCACCCACTCTTGTACTTGTCTAAGCTATTTATAAAGCTACACAAGGTTTTAGCTTCAGTGATGCTACCTGGCAGTTTATTCCACTCATTCACAATTCTGTTACCAAATCGCTGCTTTCCTATATCCTTTCTAAATCTAAATTTTTCCAACTTGAACCATTGCTAAGAGTTCAGTCTTGGTCATATCTTTTTAGCATTTATATCTCCCATGTTTATTACCATTTATGCACTTCAACCATAGCCTCCCTAATTCTGTACCTTTCTAGAGAGAGCAGATTCAGAGCCCTCAGTCTATCCTTGTAGGATACAGTGCTCTCGGTCTCTCCTTGTAGGAAATGTTTCTGATACATGGGATCAACTTGGTCATCCTTTTCTGTATGTTTTCCAGCACATATCCATTCTATAATATGGAGACCAGAATTGTGTAGCATTTATGTCCATTCTGTAATACTGTGACCAGAACTGTGCAGCATATATGTTATTTATTCTTCTTTCAACAAACTGGCCGTATCCCACCGAGGCAGGGTGACCCAAAAAGAAAAAATGTTTCTCATTTTAACTTCGGTAATGTATGCTACTAGCCCCTTGCTTCCGGCATGTTAGTCACCTCTTGCGACACACATGGCTTACAGAGGAAGAATTCTGTTCCACTTCCCCATGTAGATAAGAGGAAATAAACAAGAACAAGAACTAGTAAGAAAATAGAAAGGCCAGAGGGGTGAGTATATATATCCATGTACATGGATGTGTAGTGTGACCTAAGTGTAAGTAGAAGAAACAAGACGTACCTGAAATCTTGCATGTTTGTGAGACAGAAAAAAGACACCAGCAATCCTACCATCATGTACCATCGTTTTACACTCACTTGGCAGGACGGTAAACATATTGACGCTAAACATATTTCTAGACAGACAGAGGGCAAATTTCTAGGTCTCTACCTTGACTGCAGCCTCAAATTTCAGACACACATACAACAAATTTCCAAGAAAGTCTCCAAAACAGTAGGCATCCTTTCAGAGATATGGTACTATGTACCCCAATCAGCTCTTCTAGCTTTGTACCACTCTCTCGTCTACCCATACCTCACCTATGGTATTTGTGCATGGGGCTCAACCACAGCAAATCACCTTAAGTCTTTAATAATCCAACAAAAAGCTGCAGTGCGATTGATTACTAACTCCTGCATTAAACAACACACTCCACGTGAAGAAAATAAATGGTATAAAATACCGACACAATGGAAACATATTAAGTGTGGATATTTTGCATATTAAGCAAGTTAAGACTCTTGAAAAGAGGTGGAGTGTAAACAAACACACATTCAGTTTTATGTGATCCTTTATTGACAACATTTTGCCCACACAGTGGGCTTTTTCAAGCCACAAACAGATCTGTTTGTGGCTTGAAAAAGCCTACTGTGTGGTTGAAACGTTGTCAATAAAGGATCACATAAAACTGCGTATGTGTTTGTTTACACTCCACCTCTTTTCAAGAGTCTTAACTTGCTTAATATGCAAAATATCCACACTTAATATTGTCCCTGCTGCATACACAGGACACTATACTCAAATATAAACCCTCCTCTCAAACTACTACTTGATAACTATAACAGAACACACAACCATAATATGAGACAAAGATCACTCTTCGATATCCCTCATGTTCATCTCTCCCTATACAAAAATGCTATGCACGTAAAAGGCCCAAAGATCTGGAATTCTTTGCCAGAACACACTAAAGGACCCCTGTCTGCAAATCAGTTTAACCCTTTGTCTGTTTCAGTCGTATATATACGTCTTAAGAGCCACCGTGTTTGACGTATATATACTCATAAATTCTAGCGGCTTCAAATCAAGCAGGAGAAAGCTGGTAGGCCAACATGTGAAATAATGGGTGTGTGTGGTCAGTGTGCACCATATAAAAAAATCCTGCAGCACGCAGTGCATAATGAGAAAAAAAAACTCCGACCATTTTTTTTAATTAAAATGCCGACTTCGTGATCTGTTTTTTAGTATTCATGGTTGTATTCTCGTTTTCTTGGTCTCATTGGATAGAATGGAAAACATGTTATAGAAATAGAGGTGATTTTGATTGCATTTACTATGAAAAGAACCTTGAAATGGAGCTCAAAGTAGGGGAAATCTTTGATTTTTGCCATTGTTCAAAAGTAAACAAATGATATCATTTTCATATAAATGTCCAAGTACCATTCTAATATGCAGTCATGAATGGGTTGACATTATATATACAATTATTACAATGTTATGCAGCAGTTACTGCATAACAGTAAATCTTCTACTTTTTGTTTGAATAAAAATTCAAAATAGAAAGCAAGAGTAATATCAGAGGGGCCTGGAGACATGACTGATGAACAAAGAAAATGTTATTTTAGAGCCAGAAATGTCTGGATTGTTCATTCTGGACCCTATTTTGAAATTGTCATATTTTTTTAATTTTCGTGAAATTTTCCAAATTGCAAATTTCTGACCACGTTACTGGGTAGTTGAAATCGGTAAATGGGCAGTTTCTTGTACTCAATCGATAGAAAAAAATGGAGTTCTAAAGAAATAGCTATGAGTTTGGTTGACTGGAACAATGGAATTAGCCGAAAGTGGGCGAAATCGCCGATTCTTAAATATCGCCGAGGTCACTAATTTTGCGAGAGCGTAATTCCTTCAGTTTTCCATCAAATTTTGTTCTTTTGGTGTCATTACAATCGGTAAAAGATTCTCTGTCATTTCATAAGATTTTTTTTTTTTTTTTTTTTTTTTTTAAATTTTGCAACACCATGAGACACCTCAGGATTTGGGGTTGCGACAGTCAAAGGGTTAAGGCACTACTAAGAAATCGCTCGTCACCCAAAATTAACCAGACAATCCGTACCTAATCACCAGAGGCGTTGCTAGGGTTGGTGTCACCCAGGGCGGCATCTTTGGTGTCACTCCCATGAAATCCAAGGGCGGGGGGGTGGGGGGGAAGTAAATTCCAGTTACGTCATTACTGCATGACCAGTGACAAATGTTTAACAATGAGAACGCTTAAGAGCCATGAACTGAACAGGAGAATACTTCTCAACTTTATTAACGAAAAAATAAATAATCGTAGTAATATTGAGGAAACACAAACTCAAATATCACTTTGAGTACAGCTAACACATCTTACATTTATTATTCTTCAACAATGCCAAAAAAAAAAAAAACTTGAAAAATAAGGAAAACATTGCAATATCAGAGAAACACTAGTTCCGATCTGACCTTGAGTACAGGTAACATCTCAGTGAATCAGATCATAAATTTCCTTGCCTTCAATCCTGCAGAATCATCAATCACTTCATCAAAATCAATGCTGTCAACTGACCCATTTTCTGTGGATAACATTGGTATGTCAGAGATTCTGGATCGACTCATTGTGGACCGTAAATAGTTTTTAATTAGCTGCAACTTGGAGAAACTCATTTCACAAGAAGCCACAGAAACACATAGTAAGGAACAACCTCAGGCAGAGTGTCAGAGTTAGAAGAAATTCAATGAAATCCTATTCAACTATGAATGTTAGTACATCCAGTGCAGTCCAGCGCTTAATTTTTTCAAGATCAACATCATCAGCTTGCAGGTGCCTCCTTAGTCTTGGTATTTCAAGCATGAGCTCATTCTTGCATATTTCATTATAGAAGACTGTGAGTCTTGAAGCCATCGCCTCCAGTTCTTCTTCAGTAGCTTGTACAAGATTCTTTGTTTGAATGACCACAAACATGGCTGCCACATCCTTGGTTGCTTTTGACCGTATCTCAAGTTCATTATGAAAACGATCAATGCGCTCCAACATCGCCCTCTTGTTTTCTACTGGTAGAGTGAGTCTGGAATCTCTTGCCTGCTCCCCTGCCATCCTTTTCTTTAACCTGATTCTTCTCTCTGTTGGAATTCCCACATTTCAAAAGTGCCTGTTGTATTGAATTTTCCACTATGCCATCTCACCCTTCATACAAAAATAATCGCAGTGCCTCTAGCTTCACCACCACTTTATCAAGGGTTAAATCCTTAGTCTGCAAGTACTGCTGTGCAAGCTGAACCTCCCGAAGTATGTCACCCCAGAAATACAGATAACACAGAAATGTGAAATTGCTCACAGCAAGGAGAAGACCTTGTGCTGCTCCTCTTGTATCCAAATTTTCCCGTGGATTGCAAAGAGCTTCAATCGCTGCCACAAATTTCTCAAAAGATTCCGCTACTGGTTTCACTGCATTGTAATGAGAACTCCGTCTTGTTGTTGATAATCTATTCAAAGAGACTGCAGTATGGTCCATTAATACATCCCATCGATGGGTGGAGGAGGCAAAGAATGTATACGCTGACTCAAGACCGCCAAAATATTTTACACATGATGAATTCTCGGCAGAAGAATGCTGACCACACAAGTTCAATGAATGGTCCACACAACCACTGAAAATTGCCTTTTTGTTCTTTTCTTTAAGAATGGCTTGTACACCTCCATGTACCCCAGCCATGGTGGCAGCATTGTCATATCCCTGAACACGGCACAGCATGAAGTCCAGTCCATCACTTTCCAGCTTTTTCAGGATATCAGAACTGATATCAGCAGCTTTTTTGCCCTTCAAAGGAAAAAAACAAGAAAAACTTCCTTCACTTGAACTCTTCCATCCTCCATTTGCACGTACCTGATAACTGACATTTGGTCAGTGTGTGTGTCACATCTGGTGCACTGTCAAACATAACACTGTAGTATACAGCTCTCTTGATATCAATAACAAGTTTCTCTTTGACTCGATTTGCCAGAACACTTAAAAACTCATTTTGAGTTGATGGTGAGAGATACGAAACTGATGGCCTGTGTCCACTTGAGCTGCACTTCAGTCTCATTAGGATCATACTTAGCTATTAATTCAATCATCTC